TTTTCAGGTCTCTGTAGTTTGAGTTTAAAAATGTAGTTTGGATTTAGGATTATAATTTGTGTTGGATTAGAGTTAGGATTAGGATTATATGTTATAGAGCAGGGGTGTCAAACTCATTTCCACCAGGGGGCCACATCAGCAATACAATTCCCCTTAAAGGGCCAGTTGTAAATGGAAGACTGTATTGATCATGTATAGCATATATAGAGTTTAGTGAAGGCTTTTTAAGCTCCCGTGGGCCACACAAAACAGCCTGGCGGGCCGCATTTGGCCCCCGGGCCTTGAGTTTGACACTGTGTGTATAGAGGGTGGAGCAGACTGTGTGTGTGTGTGTGTGTGTGTGTGTGGTCAGTGGACCAGACACCAGCTCTTAGATGTTGGACCGTCACAGGGACACACACACACACCAGTGTTATAACAAAGAAGAACAGACAGTCTGTAGACCTCCGTCTCTTTCATATCATCACAGACACAGAACAGGTCGTTAGGAAACTATGATGCTGATGTGATGTCACTGGGGGGGGGCCACAGAAACACAGAAACCTGTACTGAGGCAGAACTGAGTCCCAGTCTGTCTGTAGTCAAATGTACATGAGTGAAAAAGGGTGTGTGCACGGCTGTGAGGGAGAGAGAGGGAGAGAGAGGGAGAGAGAGAGGGAGAGAGAGAGGGAGATCCATGTTTCAATGAACTTCCATTGTTGGAGTCCCCCCCTAAACCCCCCTCCCTCCCCCTCCCGTCTCTGTCTCATTCACAGGTAAGTACACACATATATATGAGTTTGTTAATATGAACTGATGTTCACACACACCACCGTTCACACACACACACACACACCACCGTTCACACACATACACACACACACACACCACCGTTCACACACATACACACACACACACACCACGGTTCACACACACGTTCGCGTGTTCATCATCAGAGGTGTTCATCATCAGAGCAGCGTTCATCCACATTAAACCCTTGGAACCGTTTCCTGCTCATCACTGCCCCCACCTGGATGTTCATCTTTTACTGAGCGAAATCTGAGGTTCTCCATCTTTGTTACACCACGCCGGGTTCATCACCCCTCCACCTCCACCTCCCCCTCGTCCCCCCGTCTCCCCCCAGAAACAAATTCACAAGATCAGGATACACTGAAGTACTACACTGAAGTACTACACTGAAGTACTACACTGAAGTACTACACTGAA